TGATGATGATCATGATGATGATGTGTGCTGATCAGATGGGTGTACCCATACAGCTAAATGTATCATTTTAAATAAATGGATCAGCTATTGGGACAGTCAGTATTCAAACTGTTTTGATTTACTATCACATTTACCTGAGGTCAGGTATATCCACAAGATCAAAACATTAACATGAAATTAATCCCACCTATGAAGATGATAATGATGATGATGAAGAAGTTGTCAGATATTGCTGCTTTGTCAGTGGCCTTTCACATCTACGTATCACATGCTAGGTATCCTTCTGCACCTGCTGTTGACGTTCAAGGACACGCTACCAGTGCTAGGACGTCAACAAAAGCACATTGGGTTTAGGCAAGAAAAGTATGTGGTTAGATTCAGAAAAAAAAACATCATGGTTTGGCATTCAGTATGCGAACACCAGGCTCCTGGGTGAAAGTCCTGGGTTTTTGGACCATCCACAACCCCTCTAGCCTGCCTTTAAAGGTACTTTCATACTCCTTATATTACATTGGTCCCCACAGCATTTTAACCTGATGCCATCGAGCAGCATATCATACTACCACGACAGGTGTGGCTACATACCGAGGCTTTTGGCATCAGGTGTTTGACGCTGAAATCAATGACAAAGCAGCGGTATTTTATGACTTCAGAATGAGAACGGGCTGAATATTCATGTTAATATTAAGTATGGTTGCAACTGACAATTAAGCTATATTTACTATAGACGTATCAATCTGGAAATCCATCGGTAAAAAAAAACAAAAAGAAAAAAAAATTCTTCCTTTACTTCTGGAGGCACTCAATTCAATTCAATTCAATTTTATTTATAAAGCCCAATATCACAAATCACAACTTGCCTCACAGGGCTTTACAGCATACGACATCCCTCTGTCCTTAAGACCCTCACAGCGGATAAGGAAAAACTCCCCAAAAAAAAACCCTTTAACGGGGAAAAAAAACGGTAGAAACCTCAGGAAGTGCAACTGAGGAGGGATCCCTCTTCCAGGACGGACAGACGTGCAATAGCCCATAGTTTTTCGACTAATGGAAGTGCAGGGGCCTTGGGGATCGCTCACCCCCTTCACTTCTGGTGGTGCCCCCAGTGTTACACTCCTACCTGCAGCTCGAACCAAACAGCAGTGAAAACATTGCCGCTAATGCCCTTTTATTCCTGTTGTGAGGAGTGGAAGGTGTGCTGGTGGATGCACAACGCTTGTAAGTTTTGCTGTTGTCCATGTTTTTCACGCTGACAAGGCGGAGCTTGCTGTTTCTGTAGGTACGCATTTCCTGGGGACACCTGCAATGTAAATTGCAGAATCTGTCTTGAGAGATTATAGACGTATCAAAAGATTATTTTTCAAATAATCAATTATTTATTTGGTCTATAAAACATAAAAAAACGAAAAGTGCCTGTCAAAATGTCCAGGAGCCCCAGGTGACGTCATTGAATGCCTTGTTTTGTGTGACCAAAAGTCCCCACCAAAAGTTTGCTTGAGAAATGATTTAAATGATTAAGGAATATTAAAAACATTTTTTTTTCAAACAAATAATTTGTATGAAGGAATGCTCCATGAACTCAGTATTGAACTTTCATAAAAATTAGGGACTCAAAAGAAACATAGTTTTAAAAAGAATGATCAAAATCAAAGTAGCGGAGGCTGAGGCATCCTGAATGTTAGCCTTGCGGTATGGGTCAAACTCGTTACTTTAACTAGACCCTTCTTACCTTCTAAGGTCCAACTTAATTCAACCCCACACCTCAAGTTTATAATGCAGGTTTTCTGTTAAAATGTCAGGTCTCAAGCCCAAACTGAGATTGCCCTGATGACATCACTACAACATAAGTGGGGTTATTTCTTTAAACTTTTGAACACTCCCTCTAAAGCCACAGGAGACATTATGCAACTGTTTTCACAGGCTGAGTAGTACTCCTCATGACAAATAAACTGAACTTTATGTGTGAAATTGGTGGTGTGCCCCTTTAATTCTCCAAATTGACAGTTGGTTCAGTGACAAAAACACTGCCTCACAGCCCGGTCTTATTGTCTCAACCCTCTGATTGATGGTGTGGCCTACTTAGGTGTGCATTCACCAATCAAATCATCCATTTAATCAGCATGACAGGACAGCCACCGGTTTGTTCTTGTCGACAAACTTGGGACTGGTGGCAGTAAATGGACTGAGGCAATCAAACTTTGCAACAAAATCAGGAGTCGTTTTTGCTTTGGAGTGTGACATCGTTTCACTTGCAGGACTTGAGAGAGCATTTTGGTCCCGTGTGAAGGAATTATAAGTGACATTACACGTCTTTAGGGTTAAAGGAATAGTTTGACATTTTGAGAAATACACTTGTTTGCCTCCCTGCCAAAAGTTACATGACAAGATCAATACCACTCATATCTGTCCAGGAAATACAAGGCTACAGCCAGCAGTTCGTTAGTTTGGCTGGCTGCCTGGAAAGCGGTGACGTCACGATGGATATTAACCCTTCTAAAACCGCAACTTGTCTTTTTAACAATGCAGGTTTTGTATGGATAAACACCAGCTGTTTCCACTCTTTATGCTAATCTAGGCAAGATGGCTGCCAGCTGTATCCTTATATTTAATGGATAGGTTTGAGGGTGGTAACAAACTTCTCATCTAGCTATGTCTCGGCATAAAAAACATCTTTTTGATAGTAGTTACAGATGAGTCTAATTCAAGGATATATTATTTGATTAAATGTCAGAGGAACAAAAACAATTTCCCCCCGGGGATTAATAAAGTATTCTGAATCTGAATCTGAATCTGAAGGACCGACCATATCAGCTAATTTAGCTTATAAACCCTGGACAAACATGAACCACAACTGGCAGGCTAGTCATCACAAAACTATTGATACTCTGAGGTAACTCAAGTCAATGCTGTCGTCCTCTTTGTTTCCTGTTAGGTAACAAGAGGCAGCTACAGTGGGGAGGAGATGAGAGCAGAGGAGAGGGGGCAATCAATGAGGTCAGTGAATCATGATTTATTATACAGCACCAGGCCATTAGTGTCACACATACTTTGTCACACTATGTAGAGATTGCGTGTCTGCGTCTCTCCAACAGGGTTTGGCCTGTCGACTAATGCTAAGTGGTTGGGTGGCTTTATTTGACATGAGGGGGAAACATGGCGACCCGGGTGGCAGTAGGCGTGATGGTTATGTCAGATCAAGGCACGGTATTGGTTGACATATTCAAAATGGAGCAAAGTGGCATATAAAGCATGTGTGATCAGACTGCTCTCACTCCTAGAGCATCAAGATACACAGCATGGACAGGGTGGGAGAGGTGGTGGATAGATCCTACGAACACTGGACTTTGACCCAGGAGAGCGGTGTTGGGACCGACAAACAAAATCGGTTGCAGGTTTTCTTTTAGCAACATCTGCAGTCTTTTCCTAACCATAACCAAGTCGCTTTGTTGCCTAAACCTTACCGCTGACCCCGTCTTACTTCTGTGCCACTCAAAGCTGGGTGTTATTCTAGCAATTTCTACAATCTTTTTTCTAACCATAACCAAGTAATTTTGTTGTCTTCTGAACTGTTGACCCCTTCTGGATCAAGATACAACGCCAGCATCATTTTAGCAACACTCTGGGCTTCTACCCAGAGTGCAAAACATAGAGATGAAGGGATGACATCACATTGATTTGTTTAATATGATACTGGAGCCAGTGGCCAGCTAGCTTAGCTTAACATAAAGACTGGGAACAGCTGGTGTGACTTGGTCAAATGGTAACAAAACTCACCTACTTACGGAAGCCAAGAACGGCCATGCTAGCTATCAATTTTTTCTTGAGAAAACAAAAGAGGTATTTTTCAAAATACTGAGGATGAATCTTTTGTTTTTCATAGATCATAGGATAGTAATGGAGACCTCAAAAATGAGTGTCTGGTTTGTTTGGTCGCACCTGATTTCAGCCTTCAGGATCATTGTCCTGATGAAGGATTCATAAATTTTAAATCAGTTGCTACAGTTGTCTGGACGCATGGTAGCATGGCGCTCCTGATCTTTGATAAACATTTTAAGCAATACGGAAATTACCTTTTGTTTATCTGATAACCAACTGATTATCTCATTAAGATATTTTCGTTTTCTCAAGATAACAAAATAAGTGAGTCATGATCTCGTTAACAGCATTAAAAAAACATTCAAGCATGGCCACTCTCAGCTTCCGTACCACCTCTAAAGATCACGAATTAAAGTTATATCTTGTCTGTTTAATCTAAAGTTACTGCACCTGCCCAAGAAATAGTCTCTCACACAACGCCCCAAACCCATAAACTGATCTTCTAAAATTTTGTATTTTGTACAAAATGGAGAAACAAGTTAGCCCATCTGTGCGGAGTTTGCATGTTCTTCCTGCATCAGCGTGGGCTTTCTCTACTCCGGCTTCCTCCCACAATCCAAAGACACGGCTAGGTGATTAGTAATTGGCGACTCTAAATCACCCGTAGGTGTGAATGTTATCGTGTCTCTGTGATAAGTGGTTATGAAAAATGGATCATTGAATGAACAACCCCCCAGACCCATAAATTGTCCTTTTAAAATGTTGGGTTTTTTTGTACAGAGTAAAAACAAGTTATAGGCCTAATTACTTTAAAGACAGTCCTTATGTTTGCAGTCTTTATGCTCCACAGCCTACTGGACATGCAGATATGAGAGTGGTAGGTTATCAATACTCTAATGAAACTCATGCAACAAAGCTAATAGGTCTTTGTGAAGGTCCAAAATGGTAAACATTCCTTTAAAATGAAATATCACTCTCCAGCTTAAGTGAGAAGATGAATAGTTTGTACGTAGGGGGAAATCAATGATGCTGCACCTCAGGCTGCACGTGACAGTTATCTTTGCGAAAGGGGATCCATCACTCGCATATAACCTTGAAATGACCTAAGGCGTACACACAAGTCTGCAGCTGAGCTGAAGCATATCCACCTGTTCCGTCCTTAGAGGGGTAAAACAAAAAAGGGAAATCAGTGGAAATACTGCCTTTGCTGTGTAACCACGGCAACTCCTCCCTCAAAATGCAACATCACCAAAGCCCACACCGCGTGAAGCGAGCAGGGAAGGATGCGCCGTTTGCCGCTTACCTGGCTTTATTAATAAACCGAGCGGTTCACGTGGTCAGCGCAGCCCAGCATAATATTCTGCTACATTAGCAAGGTATTTTCGACCGGGTGTTTTTTTTTTTCTTCCTCCTCTCATCCGAGACGGGAGGGATGCTGCTGCTGCTGCTGCTGCTGCTGTGAGGGAGAGAGGTGAGCGCAGTTGGAAAAGCATTTTTTTCCTCCTCTCCAAAGCTCCTCCTCTGTCGTCGGAGAGCGGAGACCGGTCACATTTTTTGCTCAATGAGAGCAAGAGGGCACCGGAGAGGATTTCCTAATTTCAACGTGCTGCTGTGCCGTGCGGCTGTTTTCTCGCCTCTGTCAAAGGTAAGGCATGCCGCCGTCTGCAGCCTCTCCACGCGTCATGCGCCTCGCCAGGGAAACTAATGTTGGGGCTGTTTTGGTCGGGGATGATGGTTAGCTGTTTGTTGTGTGATGATCCAGCTGAAAGGGCGAAGGCATTATTATTGAAGGGCAGACAGGGAAAAGAGTTGGGCTGACACCTCAGATGAGCTGTTCTGCTGGAAGGCAGCAGGCTGTGCATCATTGGGAAGTCAAACAGGACAGGACGTGGGTTTTTCTGTGCTTTTACCTGAGCAGCCGCGTCATAGCGTTTACCATTTTCACTGACTGCAGCCAAGTGATGTCCGTAAACCCTCGGCCTTCACGTTTCGTGGTATTTTCTCAGGTAAAAACAGCAGGTTTCCGCTTTTCGATCGCAATTTGTCACAATTAAAAATTGAGATAGCTACACCAGCAGAATCATCTGCACATTTAAGTTTCCTTGACTGTGTGCTGCATCTTGTGGTTTGAATGAGTTTAAAGACCTCAACATTAATTTTTCCACATTATATATTTTATCTTAGTTTTATTTACTGAGTACCGTTTAAAACAAGAAATAAGCAATATATTTTAAAAAGAGTATTTTGCATGTCTGTATAACCGGGGATTTCCTGTTTGGCTTTAATTTCTGAGTACATGTAGCTTTTTGTTTGGTAGTGATGAAGAATACTAGTCCTGATTTGTGGCCAACTTTTCCACAGCAACAATCATGGGTCAATGTAGCTGTTTTTTTAATGATATTTTTTAATTATTATAAAGAAAAGTAAGGTGTACAGCATCAAATTTCCTGTTCTCTGTCTACAATGTCATATAGAAAGCGAAAAGCGGTGAAAGCACACTTTTGAGAATGTGTATTAATAAAATGTTTTACATGATGGAGGTCAAACTGACAGAGATGAGCTCTCTGATGATTAAGAAATCAACTTTGTAACATCAAACTATTTATGCTGGCAAAGCTGAATCTTTAGAATAATACTTGTTTACTCAATATCCAGACAGCCTGTATTTTTATGTCAATTTTACAACCTTGAGTTTATTTCCTGATTCAATAATTCGTTTTCTTCATTCTGTCGACACTGTCCCGCAGAGGCTAATATGAAGACATCATTTGGCAAACCAGACCCTGGAAAGCACCCACAGTCCTTTCAACTGATTTGAAACTGAAAACAAGCACCATGCAGTGTCTCCGGTAAAACCTGCTCCCCACTCTCCCCTCTACCTACCCAGCCATTGAGAGTGAGGACACCACGAGCTGCACAGACATGGGTTCAGATCAGCCCTGCATGGATTCACCAGAGAGAAGGCCCATGGTGGGTGCTGCCTGTAAGCGGCAGGCCTACCGGTGTCTGCGGAGAAAGCTGAGGCCCGTGCGAATCTTAGGGTTCGTCCTCAGCCTGGTGGCCATAAGTGCTGTCTCCCTCAGTGCCTTGACCTGGAGTTCAGGGGGCTTCAGCGAGCCAGTGCTCCCCCAGGAGAGTCTCCACCAGTCGGCCCCCCACCGGACTCTACTTTTCACCCAACACCAGAGGGACCCTAACGTGTCAGCCGACATGCCAATAGCCATGAAATCTACAGCAGATAGCAACGACAGCCAGGGGGAGTACCCGCCAGACATTTTCACCCTTGAGGAGAGGCGCCAAGGAGCAGTGCTCCTCCACATGTTTGGCATGATCTACATGTTCATTGCCTTAGCCATAGTGTGCGACGAGTTCTTCGTCCCAGCGCTGACCGTCATCACGGAGAAGCTGTCCATTTCGGATGACGTAGCAGGTGCCACCTTCATGGCGGCAGGCGGCTCAGCCCCAGAGCTCTTCACCTCCATCATCGGTGTCTTCATCTCACACAGCAACGTGGGCATCGGGACCATCGTGGGCTCGGCCGTCTTCAACATCCTCTTCGTGATTGGGATGTGTGCCATCTTCTCTAAGGAGATCCTCAACTTAACATGGTGGCCGCTCTTCCGCGACGTCTCCTTCTACATCCTGGATCTGATCATGCTCATAATCTTCTTCCTGGATAACTTCATCTCCGTGTGGGAAAGTGTCGCCCTGCTCTCAGCCTACGCCACCTACGTGATCTTCATGAAGTGCAACAGCAGAGTCGAGAGCTTCGTCAAAAATTGCATGAGCAAGAACCAAGTGGTAGAAGTAGAAGTACAACCCAAGGTGAGTTGGTTTCTTGATCTGTATTACTTTCCTTCACCACCATCTTTTCTAAAAATACAATTTCATATGGAATGTCAGACTATAAGGAAGTTACAGTAGGTGTGCAGTAATGAGTTCTAGCACTTTGGCTGATAGAAATGACCTTCCATTTCTCCTCTGGCATGGGAGCACAAACTCATCCTTTTACACATATCATGCAGCTGATTTGTTATTGTGATGAAGTCAGCCTTACTGTGAGAACTGTTTCAGTTGAGCCAAAGATGAACCCAGTTTGTTTGTGGAGACGTGCTTTAAATTCCATGCATCTTTTTGTTCTCATCAACCTAATGAGCATTTTCAAAGGAGACCGCCATCTCACAGATGTCCCGCACTTTTAGACCATTCCATATACAACAACCGATGCCAAACTCATGTTTCATGAGAGGGATTTATGGCATACATGCTCATTAGTTGTGAATGAGGCAAATAACAGGAGCTCAGTGGGTGTAAAATATGGAGTCAACAACTAAACTGACCGTTGTGCATTAATGTGGCTTAAATGATGCTGCACAGGGCTGGCAAACAGTATTCCTCTGTGGGATTAATAAAACACAGTCAAATGTGTAATTCTGGGTTAAGCTCTACAAATTGTGTCCCGGTCTGACAAACAAATCCCTCCGAAAATCTCCAGAGCTATTTTTTCCTCCCAGTTAAAGATTTCCCACATTAATATTGTGTTTAAATAGTTCTGTAAACATGTCAACCACATACAGCTCAGTGAGGTGAACCACATGTAGTAAATGGCTTCAGGCTTGCAGCGGTCGTCTTGTTGGATGTGTGCGTTCCTCCATATTTTCTCTCATGGGAGATTCTTTATGTACAGTCATTTAGTTCAGTATTTAAATTTTTGCTCAGTGGCATAAGCAATGAATACTCCACAAACAAAAAAAACGCAGAAATCATTGTGTTACTTCGTATAACATTCGCCCCCTCAATGACACTCGAGGGCAAAAGACACTGCAGTGCAATTTGATACTGGTGTAGAGATTATCCAGACGGATTTAGATTTCTTTGTGACATGAGATGGAAATGAAATTTTGTGAAAGTTGCATTGTAAAGCTTTAATTAAATCGGGATTTATTTTAAGCACATAAAGGATATTTAAATGGCAGGTTTCACTATGTAGCGGAGGGGAAACTCTGGAAGAGTCGCCATTTGATTCGCACTGTGCAAAACCCAAAATGTGAAGCCACTGTCTTTATTTAAAAAGCAAGCATGAAAGCAGTTCTTTACTTCGGCTTCTATTCTATCATACGAAACTGATTTAGGGCTCCAGTGCAAGAAAAGAGTGAGAATAGAGGTGCACAGGCTGAGTGCCAGAGAAGACTCAGGTGACCTTGAGCTGCAATGGATTCTGGGTACTTTGGCCAACAGATCTGTGTGTGTCTTTGTGTGTGTGTGTGTGTTGAAAAACAACTTTTGATGGGGGGAAGAAATAGTGCGAGACAGATGAGTCGATCAAACCCCGCCATCACGTCTCATCTCCTAGGACGCTTACAGCAGATTTAGCCTCTCCTCTCTGTTGCATTGTGGGTAACAGTCCCACGGCTGCACCTCTCAGCATTTCTCTCAGCTTTAAAAAAACATATCAAACATAGCACATAAAAATGTGCAAAATTAAAGTCTTAAGCTTTTATTTTATCAGGTTGTCATTTATTTTGTAGTCTGGGTCTACAGGGTTAATGGAGCTGGAAAGGCACAAATATTATTAGAATATAATCATCTAAACATCCTTCTTTTAATCAAGCTTTGGCACTTTGGGGACATGTGTATTTCAAGACACATGTTATTTTGAGATTTAATTGGCAATTTAGCAGCCCTGTGTGTGTGTGTGTGTGTGTGTGTGTGTGTGTGTGTGTGTGTGTGTGTGTGTGTGTGTGTAAATTCATACATGAGTAATGGAGAGTAAAACAGGAGCCCAAGGACAAGTGTCCTGCAAAACATGATCGAGGGTCTGGTTTTGTGCTTTTCTGTCTTTCTATTTTTAAGCGACATTCACCACTATGAACGGAAAGCTGCGTTGTTGCTTTTTTTATAAGTTAATCATTTCCCCGTCATGACTGAGCTCCAAGGTGTCCTTAATCCTCCACATAGTGCTGTTGAAGTGTAAAGTATTGCATTGTAAGGACAATAGGGTATTATTCGACACCATGCCCTTGAACTAAACACTTGATTAAAATGGGCTTCCCTGTGATTATTTCGTGCATTATGATATTGGGACGTCCCTGTTGTGTGTTACATTGCTGCCATAGACAGAAACACAGGCAGTCAGCAGCAAAAGAGAAGCGGCGTTATGGTGTCACCCTAAGGATAAAAGTGCGTAGGTTTCTTGGCAGTTGGCCATAAACAATGCATGCTATAAATACCATGTAAGATTTGATTCAGAGAGTAACATGGGCAGCAGTGTGATGTTCTGCATTTAGTAGTCATCAGTCAGTTTTGTACCGTCTGCGACCGCTGCCTTTCATCTCGCTACAGAGCTGCTTGCACTGCGTTCTCTTTTTTATTATTGACATGAAAAGTTTCTTTTCTCAAACTTGTTTATTCTCCTCCTGGTAACATAAAAATAGCTGGCTTTGTTTCTCTCATTTTCTCAAAAATAATGCCTTAGCTCCCAGGCAGAGCGTTAAATGGTGAGAGGAGGGCTCGCTTTTCGATCATTTGACAGATCAGAGGTGTCTTTTTCTTTTCTTTTCTTTTTTTTTTTAGCCCAGGGATAAGGTGTAACATTATCAATACACCGCAAACAGAACTGTCAGATCTCAGCGTGGTTGCTAGGTCTATTTGAAGCCATTGTTTCACAGCAGTTCAATGGTCAGCCTCATCAAATGTAATCTGCAATAATCTCTCAATCCAGTTAACAAAACCGTGAATGCTCCATAATGCCATGCACTTAGACTGACTTGGAATTACGGCAAAATAGGATGGCAAAGGACGATGCTTTCAGCGCAACAACAAACTTTACATTTCAGGCAGATGGGAGGAAGTTCAACACCTCACAGAGTTTTAGGAGTGACAGCATGTGGATTCTTTCACGCTCGTCCCATAAATCTTGGTGGTGCCTGCAGTTTTGAAATCCGTATGAAATCCTCTATTACTGTAACTGCTTAACACTGATGATGACAACTTGACACAAAGTTGCAGAATCTCAGCCGCCAGTGCGTGGAGATGAAAAATGAACTCTGCTCGCACCCACCATACCATGCTGAGAACTAAAAGATCATTTTTCCTCTAAATATGATGGTTTAGAAATTATACTTGAAGTCTAGTGTGCAGGATTTAGTGGCATTCGGCAGTAAGATTGCAGAACTGTAACTTCTCCTGTGTGCTAAGCATGTTGGAGAACTACAGTGACCGGCATGAAAACACAAATGGCCCTATGTAGAACCAGTGTTTGATTTGTCCATTCTTGGCTACTGTAGAAAAAACATGGTGGACTGTGTGGAAGAGGACCCGCCCTGTATATAGATAGAAACGTCTAACTCTAAGGTAACGAAAACACAGTGCTTCTTATTTTCAGTTGATTAAAAACAAATGAAAACACAGTCATGAATATTAGATTCCATTTCTGCCAATAGATGCCCCTAAATCCCACACGCACTGGCCTTTTAATCTGCATTAACTGATTTTTTTTGGCCACTTGGGGGCAGTATAAACAAGCTGTCAACACAATATTGATATATTAACACCTTTTAAACAAGCTCCTAGGAACAGTGCAGGGTGACATAGTGGTCAAACTGCTGAAATTACAAGTTCCAAAAAGACTTAATCCTTTAGGCTTACATTGTAAAAGAGCTGTCTGTAAATCAGTGGATTTTGAGTGTCACAACCTCCGCAAGATGACTCATTTGACTATCTATATGTTATACTACAGTATGTGTTATTCCGTCAGATAACATTTTGAAAGTCTCGAAAAGCTGCACAACTGCATCATTTTTTATCCACATTCAAGTTAGCAGAGCGCTAAACTCGAAGTTAGTCAGCAGAAGTCTCTAGAGCGCCTATTCTACAGAGGCAGAGCACATGGTACCATGGTTTACACATGGTAGTTGAACTTTTTGGATTCATGTGCCATTGAGCAACTTTAATATGAATGAACAGGGCCTGCTTTCAATACTCTATCCAGTTATCTTTACACATCCATGCTTTTAAGTTTGCGATGTTAGCTAACAGTTGCTTATTTACACGTTCAGCACACATGGAGCAACATTAGCCTTTCTCTGAAGTTGTGTTTTGGCCACCTCATGAATTTATGTCAGCTGTTCACTCTTTTTTAGCTCTGTTTTGCTTTCCACCACTGCTGAGAGAAATAGTTGTCTCTATAGCTGCTAAATGCTCCACTACGTTTACCAGCCAGTTGCTAACTTTGTCTGTCTGATATTTAGTGGTAGGCAGGTAGCGTACAGTTGGTGCAGCCACTTGCTATGAACGCACAGACAGCAACGTTTATGGGCCATAAAGCCAAAACAATGAGCTGATCAAAAATTTAAAATTATTGATCAGAGCAAATTTGGAGCAGGATGACGAGAAAATTGAAATGACTTGACAATTTTTGCTACTTTTGAGTCAGAGTTGCATCTTTAGTTGATCCCAGTGCATGACTTGTGATTTCATTTGTTCATCTTTGACCCAAACAGATGTTGGAAGGATGTATTTACCTATTAGTTCTGGCCTGATTGGTGCCTAATACCTTTGTTTACCTAATGAGTGCTTAGCTGCTTGTTAATCTCACAACAAGGGCACTCTGCCTTAGCCCAGCGAGTTAGGTTGCCACCTCTGCCACTCTACCTCCTATGAGACGCAACCCTGCAGACTGGCCGTATATTCCTTGCTCTCATCTACTTTTAGCAATTCTGTTTGGAATCAGAATCTGTCTTTGAGGATTGACACATGACTTCAATAATTTAAATTCATTCAGAGGCCTGAGATGAAGTTTCCCTTTCACACATGTAGCACACTAC